CAGGGTTTCACCATGTTTGGCCAGGCTGGTCCCGAACTCCTGACCTCAGGTGATCCACCTGCCTCGACCTCCCAAAGTGCTGGGATTACAGGCGTGAGCCACCACACCCGGCCCTGCTTTTAGTTTTGAGAGACAATTCTATTTACTTGCTTAACGACTTCCTAATGTTAAATTAATTTTTAAACATCCTAAAGAAATATATCTATTTTCTACAAACTATTATTAATCTTATCTTCTTTTTATAGTCACCTAGAGCCCGGTTTTATATAAGTCCATCTTTCCAAAGGTAAATAGATAACCAGTTTGTTGAACAGTTAGTCACAGTAACTCCTCTAAGAGACAGTTCCTTTTGACTATTATGTCTGCAGTTCTAGTCACCTGCCAATAGATTGTTTCATAAGCTGTAGCCTTCGTGTCCAAACAACTCAATTTGCAATAAGCATATCCTTTCACTTTCCATCTTACCAGCCATAAAGCTCATGTTATAGTCTTACTGTAGCTTTTTTCTAATAGCCCTCTGGATTTTTACTATAGTAGTTACCAAAAAAATAAGAATTTTGTGACTGACATCATCTTTTCTTTAAGGAGGTCTATCTAAATAGTAAGCTCCGTAAAATCAAGGCCTGTGTCCAGTGCAGTTTCCCTCACTGTTCTTGGCATAATGCTAAGTGATTAGTAAGTGCTCAATAAAATTTTTTATTATATCTTTATGATAAAAGTATAGTGTTGTATATTTAGATTTAATAGTTATATAATGTGATTTGCAGCCCACTCTTTTTCTAAATCACCAAATGAATAGCCATTCAGTTTAGGTTGTTGTCTCTCTCTCTCTCTCTCTCTCTCTCTCTGTCCTCATAGAATTCACAGCATAAGCACTCCGGTCTTGAGCTGTAGTATTTGAGGTTTCACAGGGTTTATTAGAAACTAACAAACAGGCCGGGCGCGGTGGCTCACGCCTGTAATCCCAGCACTTTGGGAGGCCGAGACAGGCGGATCACAAGGTCAGGAGATCGAGACCATCCTGGCTAACACGGTGAAACCCTGTCTCTACTAAAAATACAAAAAACTAGCCGGGCGAGGTGGCGGGCGCCTGTAGTCCCAGCTACTCGGGAGGCTGAGGCAGGAGAATGGCGTGAACCCGGGAGGCGGAGCTTGCAGTGAGCAGAGATCACGCCACTGCACTCCAGCCTGGGTGACTGAGCGAGACTCTGTCTCAAAAAAAAAAAAGAAACTAACAAACATTAGAGGTTGTTGATCATCAGAGTGGGAGACATTTCTTCTACCATGCCCTAACTGTTTTAGGACTTTTATGTTAACCTTTTAGCCTCAAATAACCCTTTCAATAACTTAGTCCCATAACTCTCCAACTCCTACAGGATTTTATACCTTAATAAGAAAAGTAAAAGAGCTTTAGCATGTTGTGTATGAATGTGTGTTGTATGTGGTAAAATACACATCTATTTCCGGAACCCGTTCATCTTCCCAAACCAGAACTCCTTCCCATTGAATAATTAAATAATAGCTCCTCATTCTCCCTCTCCCAGCTGCTTACAACCACCATCTTTGACTACTCTCAGTACCTCGTATTAGTGCAGTCACATAGTACTATCTTTTGTCCTTTGTGGCTAGTGTATTTCACTTGGCATAATGTTTTCAAGGCCCATCATCCTGTAGCTTGTGTCAGAATCTTCTTTCTTTTAAAGGCTAGACAATATTCCATTGTGCGTATGCGCCGCGTTGTTTATCCATTCATCCGTCGGTAGACTTTTGGGTTGCTTCCACCTTTATGTGTCTTTTGATGGAAGGGAAAGGAAAATTATTAATGTGTCCATCCACAAGCAATGATATTGTACAACCTGTACTTCTAATCCTATGGAATTGTCCTCTAAATTTGATTCTACCTAGTGCCTGCATTAAATAGCATACTATGGCATCCATAATGAGACCTAACTCTGGGTGCTCTAAGGCAAAGCCAAGAGAGTGACCTCAAATTAGGGAAAAAGCATATAATATAGGCCTTCTAGCCCACTACCAAAAATTACAGCACTTGGTACATAGTAGGTACTCTATAAATGTTTGTTTTTTGTTTTTTCGTTGTTTTGTTTTGTTTTGAGATGGAGTTTCACTCTTGTTGCCCAGGGTGGAGTGCAATGGCACAGTCTCGACTCACCGCAGCCTCCATCTCCCATGCTCACCTCTCCTGCCTCAGCCTCCCAAGTAGCTGGGATTGCAGGCATGTACCACCACACCCAGCTAATTTTTTTGTATTTTTAGTAGAGATAGGATTTCTCCATGTTAGTCAGGCTGATCTTGAACTCCCAACCTCAGGTGATCTGCCCGCCTCGGCCTCCCAAAGTGCTGGGATTACAGGTTTGAGCCACCACACCCGGCCGGTACTCTATAAATGTTTGAATAAATGCTAAGTACAGATAAACCACTGTTCATAATTGCCAAAAATTGGAAACAGCCCAAATAGAATGAATAAACAAATCGTGGTATATTCACACAATGAAATAGTTTATAGCAATAAAAATTGATGAACTACAGATACACACAAAAACATGAACAAATCTTAAAGAGAGAAGCATATATAACAGAATGCCTACTCCATGATTCCATTTCTGCTGTTCCACAGTAGATAAAATTAAGCAATGGTTTTTGTAAATATGCTATTTACTTATAAAAATGCTATTTTAAAAAAAGCAAGGAAATGAATTCCCTAAAAGTCAGAATAGTGGTTATTGTCAGTAGGGGTTGGGCAGGGGCTGGAGTTTATGATTAGGAAGGGGCATGTTGTGGGGAGAGAGGAGGCTTCTGAGATGCTGATAATAGTCTGTTCCTTGACCTAAATGAAGGTTCTATGGGTGTTCACTTTCATCAGTTTGATACGTTGTACATTTATGTTTTATGTGCCTTTCTATATAGTCATCATATTCCACAATAAAGTTTTTTAAGTTCTGTGATTCTAAGGGAAAAAAGAAACATAAAAGATCATGTGACATAATCATACAGTCTTTTTTGTTGTGTTTTGTTTTTGAGACAGCGTCTAGCCCTGTCACCCAGGCTGGAGTGCTGTGGCATGATCTCAGCTCCCTGCAACCTCTGCCTCCCAGGCTCAAGCGATCCTCCCACCTCAGCCTCCCAAATAGCTGGTCCTACAGGCACACGACACCACACTCACTAACTTTTTTTGTGTTTTTTGTAAAGATGAGGTTTCGCCATGTTGCCCAGGCTGGTCACTGAGCTCAAGCGATTCTCCTGCCTTGGCCTCCCAAAGTGCTGGAATTACAGGCATGAATCATGCACCCAGCCTCATACAGTCTTTTAGCTTTCAGTTTGATGAGATGAGAAACATACAATTGACCCAGTTTGGAGAGTACCAGGAAAGAACTGTAGATTGTATTAAGATTTGCTTATTACTGAGTTCCTGATGTGAGTTCCTGGGCTCTGCAGTTTGGGAAAATGAAAATTGCAAGAGGAACAGCACTAAGTAGAAGCCAGTCTACATCTGCAGCCCTTTAAGGACCTGATGCTTCATTAAAAGGCATTAACATCAGTGTCTGGGACATCTAGGACATTTCCCAGTGTTTTCCTTTCTTAGAAACTGCATTTATTTCTATCACAGCATGATGCGTGGGAAGCGGGGAAAAGGCAAATAGGACGAATCTTCCTCCCAATAAAAGAATTCCCAGTAGCCCCTATTTCTATAACTACTTTTCCTCGATCCATCATAGAAAGTAGAATTAGAGATCAGCAAGTCTTTGAACAGCTTTTGAAAAAAAGTCTTCATTCACAGAATATCATTAAAGTTAAGTGGCAAATTACTTTGTGAGTAGCTTTTAATTTGAGATAATGAACAGCTTCCCCATTACTTGGGTTTTGCTAAATACCAACACCCTTCCCCTGCGTATCACTGACTTTGGTGATTCTTTAATTAGCTTAAGCCTCAAAAAGCTTAGCTGGCCTGTGAGCAGACTATTAAACTGGAAGTCCTGACTCTGATTTTACTTCTTAAGATGTATAACAGGTCAAGTAGCTATAGCCCAATTAGGAAGTGTCATAATTGATAGTGTGTCTAATTGGAGAGCATAGTTAGAAATATTTTCATTAGGCCAGGTGCAGTGGCTCAGACCTGTAATCTCAGCACTTTGGGAGGCTGAGGTGGGTGAATCACCTGAGGTCAGGAGTTCAAGGCCAGTCTGGCCAACATGATGAAACCCTGTTTCTACTAAAAATATAAAAATTAACTGGGCATGGTGGTGCGCACCTGTAATCCTAGCTACTCGGGAGGCTGAGGTAGAAGAATTGCTTCAACCTGGGAGGCAGAGGTTGCAGTGAGCCGAGATCATGCCATTGCCCTCCAGCCTGGGCGACAGAGCAAAACTCTGTCTCAAAAAAAGAAAAAAAGAAATATTTTCATTAAGATACTCAGCCATCGGCCGGGCGCGGTGGCTCAAGCCTGTAATCCCAGCACTTTGGGAGGCCGAGACGGGTGGATCACGAGGTCAGGAGATCGAGACCATCCTGGCTAACACAGTGAAACCCCATCTCTACTAAAAATACAAAAACTTAGCCGGGCGAGGTGGCAGGCGCCTGTAGTCCCAGCTACTCTGGAGGCTGAGGCAGGAGAATGGCGTGAACCCGGGAGGCGGAGCTTGCAGTGAGCTGAGATCCGGCCACTGCACTCCAGCCTAGGTGACAGAGCGAGATTCCGTCTCAAAAAAAAAAAAAAAAAAAGATACTCAGCCATCACTGTAAGCAGCTTTGTCAGATTTTACGTGTGAAAGGGAAGCAGCTAGCCAGTTTGCCTTTCTCAGGGTAGAATTCAAGAGGTTTGTTCCCCTGCTATTTAAAAGTTTGACATTCCTTGACTAATTTATTCCATTTCTGTTCCAGACATGAGCATAAAGTTCTGATTTGCAGACGTGAATCACACCTGTGCATATTGTGCTGCTTTTTGTTATAGGTCCTGCCTTACCTTGCTGTCTTTCCTCTTTCAGGGTCTGACATTTCAGGAGGTGGAGAACTTCTTTACTTTCCTAAAGAACATTAATGATGTGGACACTGCACTGAGTTTTTACCATATGGCTGGAGCATCTCTTGATAAAGGTAATGAAACTCAAAAGGTGTTTTTTGGAAGGTATGAACATTGGATCTGTAATCTCTTAGGTGACTGCCCCTCCTGAACAGTAAAAGGTAAGTTTTTCTTGGCATCCTTGAAATGTGTTTTGATTTGTTGACATTGTATGAGCTTTGCATTTCACCCTGAGATGCCAAGTTCAGTGAATATATTTTCTTGTGCTAAGGCTGTAGTCTGGGCAGGTGCCCATCTTTAAATGACTAACCTTGAAAATAAGCATCTAAGCTAAGGCACAGGGCATGAAGCTGCAGAACTTCCCCCATCTGAGCCAGAGTCATTATATATACAGTGTGAAGCTAAAGTCACTATACAATTTAAGTTACGTCTTTGATGAGAAGGAATGCTTTAGTTTATTTCTTATATTAAGACTTTTTTTTAAGATAATCTGACTCTGAGAATAGCACCCCCGCTCCTTTGGCTTACTTCATAGAAATTCAGTTACAGTTTGTACAGGCAACGTGAGAGCACAGAGGAATTGAAAGCACAATTTTTCCCCCAACGTTTCATTATGAAAATTTTTAAACATTCAGAACAGTTGAAATAATTATTTAAATAACATCCACATATTCAGCTCAGTTGACATTTTGCTATATTTGCTTGATCGGATGACTGTGCATATTTTCATCTCTCTAAGTAATCATCGATCTTATTTGACATGTTCAAAGTAAGTTGCAGACGTAAGTATACTTCACTCCCAATTACTTCAGTATGAATATTAACTAAAGTTCAAGATTCATTTAAAGTTCTTTCAGGCCCCTTCAGTTTTTGCCCCCACTCACCAAGAGGCAACCTTTGTACTGTATAGTTTTCCACCGTAGATTAGCTTTGCGTTTTCTAGAACTCCATACAATGGAATTATATAAATGTACACTCCTTCTAAGGTTTCACTCAATGTTTTTGAGATCCATCTCCGTCGTGTGTCAGTAGTTTAATCCTTTCTTATGATGAGTAGTAACCCACTGTATGAATATGGTCAGGTGTGGTGGTTCATGCCTGTAATCCGAGCACTTTGGGAGGCCAAGGCAGGCGGATCACCTGAGGTCAGGAGTTCGAGACCAGCCTGGTCAACATGGCAAAACTCCGTCTCTACTGAAAATACAAAAATTAGCCAGGCATGCTGGCGTATACCTATATCCTGGCTAACACGGTGAAACCCCGTCTCTACTAAAAAACACAAAAAACTAGCCGGGCGAGGTGGTGGGTGCCTGTAGTCCCAGCTACTCGGGAGGCTAAGGCAGGAGAATGGCATGAACCCGGGAGGCGGAGCTTACAGTGAGCTGAGATCTGGCCACTGCACTCCAGCCTGGGCGACAGAGCGAGACTCCGTCTCAAAAAAAAAAAAAAAAAATACAAAAAATTAGCTGGGCATGGTGGCAGGTGCCTGTAATCCCAGCTACTCAGGAGGCTGAGGCAGGAGAATCACTTGAACCTGGGAGGTGGAGGTTGCAGTGAGCTGAGGTCGCGCCATTGCACTCCATTCTGGGCGACAAGGGCAAAACTCTGTCTCTAAATAAATTAATTAATTTAATTAAATAGGCCAGGCATGGTGGCTCATGCCTGTAATATCAACACTTTAGGAGGCCAAGACGGGAAGCTCACCTGAGGTCAGGAGTTCAAGACCAGCCTGGCCAACATGGTGAAACCCCATCTGTAACTAAAAATACAAAAAGTAGCCGGACGTGGTGGCACACGCCTGTAGTCCCAGCTACTCGGGAGGCTGCCTTGGCCTCCCAAAGTGTAATCCCCTTGGCTGGGATTACAGGCGTGAGCCACTGCACCAGGCTATATGAATTTTAAGTTATATTTTTGAAGAATTTGCCCATGTCATCTACATTATTGAATTTATTGACATGAAGTTTTTCATAATATTCCATTATTATCCCTTTGATGTCTGTAGAATCTGAAATCCCCTTTTACTCCTACTGTTGGCAAATTATGACTTCTCTTTCTTTTTTAAAAAACTATTTCTTACTCAGTCTACCTAGGGGTTTAGCAATTTTGTTAATCTTTTCAAAGAACCAATTTTCAACTTTGTTAATTTTCTCTATGGTTTGTTGCCTACTGAGTTGATTTCTGCTCATACCTTTTTTACTTATTCGTTCTACTTATTTTCAGTATATGTTATTTTATTTTTCTTTTTCTATGCTTTTTAAGACGGAACCTTAGTTACCTTTTCTAAGATAAGCTTGTGAAGCTATACATTTCCCTATAAGCACTGCTTTAGTCTGGGCGTGGTGGCTCACACCTGCAATTCCATCACTTTGTAAGGTGGCTGGATCACTTGAGGCCAGGAGTTCGAGACCAGCCTGGCCAACAGGGTGAAACTGCATCTCTACTAAAAATACAAAAACTAGCCAGGCATGGTGGCACGCACCTGTAATCCCAGCTACTGGGGAGGCTGAGGCAGGAGAATTGCTAAAACCCAGGAGGCAGAGGTTACGGTGAGCTGAAATCTCACCACTGTACTCCATCTTGGGAGACAGAGGAAGGCTCTGTCTCCAAAAAAAAACACATAACCAAAAAATAAAAAACACACACACTGCTTTGTCTACTTTTCACAGTTTTGGTATGTGGTATTTTTTACATCATCCTGTTCAAAATATCTTCGATTTATTAGGTAAACTCATGGACTATTTAAAAGTATGTTTTTTAACTTACAAATATTTTGGGTTTGGCTGCATGTGGTGGCTCACACCTATAATCCCAACACTTTGGTAGGTCAAAGCAGGAGGATCACTTGAGGCCAGGAGTTCAAAGCCAGCCTGGACAACATAGCAAGACCTTGTCGCTAAAAAAAATTAAACATTAATTCAAAGTAACTTTTTGTTTGCTTTTGAGACAGAGTTTCACTCTGTCGCCCAGGCTGGAGTGCAGTGGCCTGATCTCGGCTCACTGCAACCTCCGCCTCCTGGATTCAAGCAGTTCTCTGCCTCAGCCTCCCAAAAGCTGGGATTACAGGCGCCCACCATCACACCCAGCTAATTTATTTTTAGTAGAGACAGGGTTTCACCATCTTGGCCAGGGTGGTCTTGAACTCCTGACCTCATGATCCACCCACCACGGCCTCCCAAAGTGCTGGGATTACAGGTGTGAGCCACCACTCCTGGCCGCAGCTCAAGTTTTTATGTAGTATCACTTACCATCAATCTAAAAAACTTCCTTCCTTCCTTCCTTTCTTTCTTTCTTTCTTTCTTTCTTTCTTTCTTTCTCTCTTTCTCTCTTTCTCTCTTTCTCTCTTTCTCTCTTTCTCTCTTTCTTTCACAGGCACCTTGGCTCAAAGTGGTGCCATCTTGGCTCACTGCAGCCTCCATATCCCAGGCTCAAGCAGTCCTCCCACATCAGCTCCTGGTTAGCTGGGACCACAGGCACATGCCACCACACCTAGCAAATTTTTTTTTATTTTTTGTAGATAGTTTCACCATGTTGCCCAGGTTGGTCTCGAACTCCTGGGCTCAAGCAGTCTGTCTATCAGCCTCCCACAGTGGCTAGGATTACAGGCATGAGCCACCATGCCCAGCCAAACTTCCTTTATCATTTCCTGTAGTGCAAATCTGCTAGCAATGAATTATTTTAGTTTTTGGGTTGTCTAAAAATGTGTTTATTTCACTGTTGATGACCACAATGTTTGATTTTTCAGTCTCTCCAAAGCACTAAGATTTTATCCATAGTCTTTTTTAGTATACCTAGAGTTTATTTGGGTCACGTTTGAAGACTACAATCCAGTAGCATAGATTTAAGTTGCCCTGAATAAACACTCCAATTAGCAGCAGTTACAAGTGGGTTTTTTAGGAAGAGATAGTTTCTAATTTGTTTACTAAGAATTTACATTAAAATAACATAAGCTATTGATTGTGTATACATTGTTCTTTGTATCACAGATTCCAGGAACATGAAACGAACAGGTAAGGCAGCTAGTCAGGAACAAAATGCCTTTAAACAATTGTACCTGGCCATGGAATTGGGGACAGGGTTGTGACTGAAGTCCCATACTCCTGTCTCTGGGCTTGATAAATTGTGCACACCTCACATACCTGAGGCTGTTCTGAGTATGTTTCTTTTCCCATTCCCCCACTTTTTTTTTTTTTTTTATCGGAAATCTTCCCATGGAAGCATTGATCAATCTCAGCTTAGATGAGACTGATAACACATTCTTCATCCCTGGCACTGGGAAGGCTCATTCCCAGATGGTCTTGTCCTGCTTGGGACTGGGGAAAATATAGAACAATCTTGCTTGTTCAACTTTTTTTTTAGCAGATTCCTTAAGATTTTCTAATACAAGATCATGGTTCTCATTTATATATGGAATCTAAATAAAGTTGAACTCATACAAGCAGAAAGTAGAATGCTAGTCCCCAGGGGCTACAGGAGTCAGGGAAATGGGGAGTTATTTTGTTCAAAGGGTGCAAAGTTTCAGTTATGCAGGATGAAATAGTTCTAGAGAGTTAGTTTACACTATGGTGACTATAATTAGTAATCCTATTGTACACTTGAAATTTGCTAAGATCTTAAGAGTTTCTTATAATATACATACACAAAAAGGTAACTATGTGAAGTGATGGAATTGTTTTGTTTTTGTTTTTGTTTTTTTGAGACAGGGTCTCATTCTGTTGCCCAGGCTGGAGTGCAGTGGTACAGTCTCTGCTCACTGCAACCTTCACCTTCCAGGTTCAAACGATTCTCCTGCCCCAGCCTCCCATGTAGCTGGGACTACAGTCGCACACCACCACACCTGGCTAATGTTTGTATTTTTAGTAGGATGGGGTTTCGCCATGTTGGCCAGGCTGGTCTCAAACTCCTGACCCCAAGTGATCTGCCCAACTCAGCCTCCCAAAGTACTGGGATTACAGGCGTGAGCCACCGCACCTGGCCTGAAGTGATGGAAGTGTTAATTAGCTTGATTGTGGTAATTATTTCACAGTATATACATAGGTCAACACATCACGTTGGATACTTTAAATATATACAATTT